TAGTTTTTATAACTTTTTACAAATTGCATGTATCATCATTCACCATTTTCTTATTATTAACCATTGTATGTCGCATAATATTGTATCTCTGATTGTAGTAAAATATTTTCAGCCCTGATACCCACATGTTTAGGTTGAATCGTCGGCACCAACAAAAACTTTATAATGACTGTGTCCTGGATATTTATCACCCTTAATATTTCACTGTATTAATAACTTGTGATTAATGCTAAATTGCTTTTAGTACTGCGAGGTTTTCTACTTGGTTTTTGGAATATAAGGATTCTTATCTTGTTTGTTTTTACTTCCATTATGTATTAGTTTATATCCTGTAATAAATAACTATTTGTTCGAAGTGTGTCATTAATCCCCATTGATTGGATTCACCTGATCTTTCTATGCTACTTTGCACCTGTATCACAGCTAGTGGTGGCTTTTTAAATTTTTTTTTTCATATCTTTGTTAAAATTAATATTTAATTTGTACTAATCTTCCAAAAATTACTAACAGTTCACTTACTTATTTATATTGAGTGAAGTTCATTAATTGATTTAAATCAGTGTGATTAAATAGTAGCTACCACTCTATAGTTGTTTGGAGTAGCTCATCTTGGATCACTATGGTCAGGGCTGTTTAGACTTGACTCTCACTTGGTTAGTTGAATCCAGTCAAAACTGGACCTGAAGTGTGTTACTATTCTGATTATGAAGCTGGTGATGTATTCGTTAGTGTATTAGTTCCAGGGCAATTCCAACATTGATCCTATAGTGGTTTTGGTATACACTGTTTTAACTTGACGAATTGAATCTGATTGGAACTGGAGCCAGATCTGGTGGTATATTCCTTACTGTATTCGTTTGAGGATATTTTAAAATTTATTGGATAAACCATTAAAAGAAAATCTTCAAAACTTGGTTCTATTATGTTATTATAATTTAATACTTTTTTTTTTTTAATTTCTTAATGACATTTACAACTGCATTACATAAATACATCTAGTAAATTTGGACATAATAGATATAATGACATGAATACACTTACTGTGTAACTACCCAATGGTAGCACTCTAATGATATGACTACATTAGGAGATCACGGGGCCATCTTCTTTTCAGACGCCTCTGAGAGTTATCAGGAATTGAAGAGGAAGCAAGGTTAGAAACGAGAGGGTTGGGATGATTCTGAAGTTAATTATGAAAGGATAGGTATCTGGATTGGGCCAGATCTGAAACATAAGGAACATTAAGATCTTAATGGATAATTTTATTAGTGACAAAGTAAGGAGCATTGAGGATTTTACGAAGGATTTTGGATTGTAGGGATTGGATGCGAGAGGAATTCAATGGTTTAGTGGAGCCCCATAGCTCAATTCCGTAAGTCCAAATAGGTCTTATTACAGTCAAGTATATGAGTCTTTTGTAATTAATGGGAAGTTTAGAGCGTTTGTCTAGTAAGTGCTGAAGTAATTGGAAACGTCGAGCGGTTTCTTGTCGTTTCAGTCTAGTATGAGGATTCCAAGTTAGTCGCTTGTCCAGGTGGAGTCCTAGGTGTCTAATTTGCTCAACAGGGATATGTGGAGTATTGTTAAAGGAAACTGTAGGACAGGCAGTCGTGGGTTTACGACGAAGGGTAAAGGTAATTTGATGGGGTTTATTGGAGTTTATTTTAATTCTCCAGTTTTGACACTTATTTTGGCAGTTATGCTAATTCCAGTAGATTGCTTGCAATCAATTGGAAAATATTTGGGATTCATAGTAAAAATGTTTCATGAGTTCTCAACTTAAATATCTTTCTTCAACTGTTGGATAGCTAATTTTGGCGGTTTGAAAGAGACTTCTTTTAAGAGAGTTTAGTCGCACAGATAAAAATAAATCTGTACAGCTTAGTCATTTGGTGAGGCAATGTAAGGGGTCATTCTTGTCCCTGGTTAAGGAAAGATTAATCGACTTTTGCATTGATAATAGTTTTTATTGGGAACTCATTCTATCCACACATGAGGGTTCACAAAACAATACTCTCAAGCGAAGTATAGAACAGCAACATAATTTACATAATGTATGTTCCCAGTATTTGAAGATACTTGACCAATGTGAAAGTTATCCATGGAGTAGGGATAGTCTCCAGTCACTTTAGTAGATAGGTAGTGGTAGATACCAGAATCTTGAAAGGATGCTGCCTTCAACCCGAGAAGTATGAAACCATTAAGCAAGAGATTAGGATAGAATTTCTTAACTTAAAGTAAAACATTGAGAGGAGTACTATAAATCAAGATCTCTTACAAATTGTAAAAGGAGTCTGCAGCATGCACAGGGTAATGGGAAAAGGATACCAAATGGCGGAAGGTGGAACAAAGACTTTAAGATTGTGGTCAGCAAGAAGAAGTAAGCCTGGAAATATGCTGACGATATAAATTTGGCAGACACAAAGGAAAAGCTGCAGCAAGCCTTTGCTGAATGGAAAAAAGAGTTCCATCAGAATGGCAATAAATACATTAAAAAAAAAAACTGCTTGTTGTCCAGGTATGAATATGAAAATATACATATGTTATGTGATGGAGAAGCTCTTAAAGTAGTGACGTCTTTTCCTACTATGGAACCATTAATAGCAGGTCTCATAAAATAGATGACAAAATTGGAAACAGAAATAACAAGTCAAACCTAATAGCCCTGGAGCCAGTGCCCAACCCGACCTGATCGCAGACGAAGGTTTAAATGTAAATGATGAATGTGTATGTTAGTGTTCTAAGTAAAATGAACCTTGTCTGCCATTCCTGAGCAGCTGCTTTTAAAAATGGTGGCTGATTTAAAGAATATTAGGCCAATAACTTGAGGATAAAATGGGAAATATATTGTGAAAAATGTGGGAAAAGATATTTTTTAATTTCTGTACATGGGTTCAAACATGTAAAAAAACAAAATTGCTGACTTGTGCCACCAAAGGAAAAATTTTTACAGCCAAAAAAGCCATATTTTTTCGATCTTTTTTTGTTGCATGGTGCATCAAAGCGAAAAATTTACTCTTTAAGAAATTTAAGAACATTAAATTGTGCGTCAAATGAGTACCTAAACTTAATAATTTGGTTAAGTGTTATGTTGAAAATCACAATCAACGAACACTGATTTTTACCAAATTTGTCAAACATCGAGAGAAATCACTATAAATGGCCATTTAAAAATGAGTTCCCTGAGAGGATAGATCCATAAATAGGAGTTGTAGGACATCAAATTTAGTGTCCAATGGCCTAATATTCTTTAAACCAGCCACCATTTCGAAAGCAGTGGCTTTGGAATGGCAGATCATGTTTACGCTCAACCACCAGGTTTTATCCCTTAATTAATTATCTAATTAAGGGTATCCACTTTAAAGCGGCTGGTTGTGCCCAAGGAGGATCTCCTGATGAGGGCTGTCGCGTAGGTGGGACGACCGGGGCGATCGTCCCTGGGTACCATGGCTAGGAGGGCGCCACAGATTGGAGACAAACATTTAAGCCAATCAACAAAGAACCCAATTTATATTCATAATAATACTCTTATAGAATTATTATTAAAACTTTACTTAGGTAATAATCATTATTTAGTAATTTTGTCAAAATTATTGCATTATATTTTAGCTTTATCATTTTCCTCTGAGCCCAGGCTCAGCTGACAGCTGCCATGTCCTTTCTACGATTACTAATTTTGGTCTCATGATCATGTTGCTGAATGTATGCCCGTTAACGGAATTCCTAGAAAAGAGACAACTAAGTTGGTATGGGCATGTCTGCTGGATGGATCATCTCAGGAACCCAATTAAAACTATGGAAGTGAGACCGTGGAAAAAAGACCAAGAGGATGTCCAAGAACCTTCTATTTCACCCACGTGGATTGAATAAGGATACGCACAGGGAAGACCCTGGAAGACATGAGAAATCTTGCCAGGGACAGAAGCCCATGAGTACCGGTGGTTGGAAGCAACCCTACTCTGAAAGGCAAATGGATAGAAGAAAAAATAAAATACTGTGTTGTTATAAATCAATAGCCAATAGATCATCAGACTCACATCATTATTTTATAACTAGCTGTTGTCTCTGTGCCCCAATCAGGAGGGGTAAGCTAAATTTTGCCGTCTTCTCTAATAAAAGCCAACATTTTATATCAATATTTTAGGCAATGTATTTCAAGATAGGATACATCATAAGATATAATTAACTCGAGTTTTTAACTGAATTAATGTTAAAAGAACCAAAAAGTAGAAACAAATATTTTTACTTTAACTAAAGAAAAAGAATAATAATTTCTCGAAATTCGGTGCCCTCCGAATTCTGTCACCCGGAGAAATTACATTAACATTTATCAACAAAACCAATATTTGTTTTTTTAAATTACCAATATCAACATTTTAAAACTTAGAAGTAATCATACCATAATTTTGTATTAATCATTAACCTCATTTTTGTCTTTCATAAGAACTGGCTAAAACACATTTTATAAGAAATTATTGTATATAATTGTTTTAACATAAGTTGGTAATGAATTTTTCTCTTGTTTTTTTCCTTTCAACTTATCCACGTAGATTAAAGAAAGTATAAGACATTAATTATATTTAGCATTGGAGGATAATAGTCGGTTTTTTAACATTGAAGTTCTAATATTTGAAACATGCTCAAGTTAAGTTTGAACTGTATTTTTTATTCTTCAGTTTCATGAAAATTATTAATAAATGTTTTGACAAAGGATTTTATTAAATTTCAATTTTTTTTTTACATTTCATACCCGTGATAACTTATTAAAATTTTAAATAATTATATAAACTACATTTATTGGCAAGTTGACTTCAGTCTGCTGCTTGGTATTCTGATTTAATGTTTTAATGCTATGAATTATTCTACCCGAACATTTTCTATTGATTATGTCATCTGTTAAGTAAATGGCTTAAATATACATCATTTAAATGTCAGTTTAATATTTAACACAAAGAATCTGTTAAATTGTTTATTTATCAAAGTTATTATTTTTCTTTCAGATTATTCATTATGCGTGAATACAAAATTGTCGTTCTTGGTAGTGGAGGTGTAGGAAAATCAGCACTAACTGTCCAGTTTGTTCAAGGTATTTTTGTGGAAAAATATGATCCTACAATTGAAGATAGCTATCGAAAGCAAGTTGAGGTTGATGGCCAACAGTGCATGCTGGAAATTCTAGACACAGCTGGAACGGTAATCAATAAATTTTAAAATTACAATTTTACTATTAATATTTTTTATTTCTTTATTATTATTACTTTTTTATCTATACCTTACTTGACTATTCATTTTTTCCTATTTAATCATTGTTATTATTAAGGAGTTGGTCAGAGATAACATCAAATAAGTATTAAATATTTATTCATGCCTATGTTTCGACCATTGTGGGCCATTATCAGGTTTAAATAGAAATATTTTAAGAAGGTGAAATCATTGCAGGAATATAAAAAAAAATATTTAAAGATATATTAACAGAAATATAAGCACAGAAAAATTTATTGTTAGTAATAAAAGTTAAGAGATGAAAAACATTGGAATCTGAAATAATTATTGACAATAAAGAGTAGAAATCTGAGTATGATAAACAGATGAACCAATGTACTGATTGATGGAATAATGATTATAACTTCTTTAATTCTTTTTCAGACTCATTGAAATGTTTTTTAATAATAATGCTATAATAGGAAGTACCTGCTGTGTTATTAGGAAACCAAATTAAGACTGATAATAAAGAAATCTCCTGACACTAATTTTGGTGTTATAGAATAGAATAGAAAAAGCAACTTTGTTTTGGGGACTGAGGGTGATATGCATAGTTCTTCCTTACTTAAATACCTGTCCTTCAGTACCTGTTCTATGAGATCAGATTCCATTCCTTTAAGCTCCCTTCCTTACTACCACATAACGTTAATTTTCTTCAATGTGAGGGCAGAAGGTGGGTAGGATAAAGGTACCATTCTTATTCCCTAAACTCCGACTATAATTCATATCATAAGATAGAATATATATATATATATATATATATATATATATATATATATATATATATACTGTGAATTATATACATACACTTCACTTGAATGATAGTATCAAATTGGTAACTGGACTGTTTCAATGTACAGTAGTAGTACATTGTTTTATAATTATCTATGGGTGATTAAATATTTGATATTTAGTGCAGAGGAAATACTTTTTCCTCACTTTACAAGTTTTAGAAAGAGTGGCAGTCCTATAAAACAAGAAAACTATAGGTAAGTGTGACATTTGCTGTTTAATCCTTATCAAATCTAATAGAGATTGTAATTGTTCTCATATATTCTTTGTTTCTGAACATAAATTGATTTGATTATATTCATATGGAATATTTGTATGGTAATTGTAAAAATGGAATAGAAAAAACTTTTCAATGGGAATTTTATAATTTAAGTCAATTAGATTGGTCAATGCTTATCATACTATGTTTTATGTATATAGCATTTGTTTGATAATTTCTATATTGGATAGATAAAAGTGTTACAACGTGAATTATATAATGTAATATATTCAAATTTATCAATACCTGTTATATTGTGTTGCTTATTTATAGAGTTTGTTTGATATAACAATTTAGAACCTTGCAGTATGAATTTTATGTGTAAGCTAATTGACTCATAAAATTCACATGGTAAGATTCACATATTGTTATAGCAAAAATGGGAAGACAAAAACCTTACGATGTGAATTTTTTAATGTAAGTCAATTAGGTTTACTAATTGCTAACTTATTATACTATGTTATAAATTCATAGAGTTTGTTTGATAGTAGCCAACTAAGATTGGCAGAAACGCTAAAATGTGTTTCTATACACATTTATAGAATTATAGTGCATTAGTGTAATTTAACACCAAATTTGTCAACTGCTCTTATGTTGTGGTGCATATATGTATATGTATATATATATATTTTTATATATTAAAACGTCATACAGATAAGTTACAAGTTTATGGTTGTAGTAACCTTACACTTGACATAACAGTGGGTTGAATACTGCTTAGAAAATTGAAATTAATTATATATATATATATATATATATATATATATATATATATATATATATATATATATAATTTGTTGGAGTTACACAATATAGTGTTGTTTTGTTTTTTTCTGTTGGCATTACAGATCTAGTAGATCTTTTACTGCCTAAAAAGGCCTACCCCATCTCTGATTGTGTTGGGCTATTTCTTTCCAGTTATCTGCATGCATCTTTGTGATTATATTTATTCATCTGCTTTTTGGCCTTCCAGGTTGTCTTTTTGCATTCTGTTGAGGCATTCATTGTTACATAGAGGCTTCCAGGTGGTTGCTACGAGCTACATGCCCCACCCATCTTGACCTCCGTCTTTTCAAATCATGGGATATTGATAGACCAGTTTCTTTAAGCAGTTCTTTATTGATCTTTCTTCTCCATGTGTTAGTACTATGATCCCAGATCACTCCCGTAATCATGAGGAGGATTTTTTTCTCAAAATTGTCATTACTCTAGGGTGCTGGTTAGTATCCAGGTCTCACAGTCATATTAGAACTGGCTTTACCATAGCATTGTACTCCCTTATTTTGAGATATTTTGTGATTTTAATACCTTTGAAAGGGAGAAGAAAGCTCTGTTTGCGCTAGTTATACGCTGATATATTTCTGACCATTAATCATTCACTGAGGTTATTGTGGAGCCTAGGTTTTTGAATTTTTCTACTCTCGGGAATGATTTTCCTTCAACGCAGATCCTATTATTGGGGTGGAATTTTCGCCTTATTATCATATATTTTGTTTTGTTTTCATTTACTTGTAGGCCGATTTGCCCTGCCTCTCTTAGTGAGTCTTAGAGTCTTGGCGAGCTTCTTAATGTCCTTATTACTTCCAAGGACAGCTATATCAACTGCATATCCAAGAATTTTATGATCCATTTTGACGTGGTCTCCTTCATTTCCTCGTGATGTTCTTATCACCTAAGTTGAACATCGGTGATAAACCATCACCCTGCCCGTTCAAACTTCAGATACTTCTCCTTGTATTAGGACTTGATATTTAGGGTTATTAGTACAGTCCCTTGATATTTAGGGTTATTAGTACAGTCCCTTGTCAATCTCACCAACTTACCTGGAACTCCCAGTTCAGTCATCATTTTCCAAAGACAGTTCCTCCCCACAGAATTATAGGCTGCTCCCAAATCGACAAATAGGACTTGGACATCCCTAGGTACTTTCAACTATACATCTAACAACTGAGGTACTTCAACTTTTTGGGCTAATCAATCACAAGTCATTTGAGCTCTTGAAATTATATATGGTTCTTTTCAGTGAACCATATACAGAGAGGTGCCACCATTCAGTATTACTATGGATACTTTATTTTACTCTTATTCCTTTTCCTGCTGATGAAATTTTCCTTATCAATTGGTGCTGTAGCAAGATTGTCCTAAGAATGTTATTACACTATGCTCAAGTAAGATAAATGTACCTTCCTTGTTCCGTAAACTCTTTACACTCACTACAACTTATATTTAGCTGATAGGAAGTGCAATTTTCGTTATTATACTTCTAAAATATAAAATATAGGGAAATGAAATTTCTTTTGCCATTCAATGGTTAAATAATAAATAATTCTTTAATTAAAATAATATCACTCAGTCCCAAGGAAAAATTGAATTATAATATTTTTGACAAATAATTGTCATATTATAAAAGTTCAAAATATCTGTCCTGGACAAAAATTTCATGGACAATTTTAATGTTTGATTGCTATGAAAATTCATATTTTAGAGTTTTTTAGGGTGCGAAAAACGAATATCTACTTTGTTTCTCACTAAAAAAATATTTGCTTTCCCCCCCCCCACATTGCTACGCCAGTTTGTCAAATTTGTTATCAATATGATAGTTGTCTGTCAAAAAAAAAAATGGATTGAGAATATAATATTATAATACCAATTCACAAGAAAGGATCTCAGGCAGAATGCTCTAACTACAGACCTATATGCCTCTCGCCAGTTGCGTACAAACTATATACATCCATATTGGTGGGTCGCTTAAGACCACTAGTTGAGCACCTAATAGGAGAAGAGCAAGCTGGTTCAGATCCGGGTGCCAAACCCATGACTACATTTTCTCATTAAGAAATATTTTACAGAAATCCTGGGACCTGAATAAAAGTATGTACCTGGCGGCTTTCCTTGACCTTAAATCTGCCTTTGTCTCGGTTTCACGAGATGAAATATGGGAAGCTCTCAGATCTAAGAATGTTCCAAGAAATCTGACAGAGGCGATAAAATCTATATATCAAGAGCCCAAAAGAAAAGTCAGGCTGAACGGGCTAGAATCAGGTTGTTTCAATATTGCAAAGTGGGTGAAACAAGGAGACAGGCTAAGCCCATTGTTGTTCTTGTTGTTCATGGATGAAGTGGCATCCATTTGTAAGAGAAGAACGGAAAGGACATTCCCGGGACGTAGGATTCTTAATCCTGTAGTGATACAGCTTCTCCTCTATGCCGACGACGTGGTATTGATTACGGACTCAGTGGAAAAGTTGCAATTGACAGTTATGGAATGGTATGAAGAGCTCTAACGAAAAGGGATGCTTATAAATACCAACAAAAGTAAGATCCTACAAGTCAGAAGAAAGAAGGAAGATATCCACATATACTGTAATGGAGAAGAATTAGAAGTGGTGACAGACTTCACATACCTGGGTACAGTAATAGACGGATCGGGGAAGGTAGACACGAAATATCAAACAGAATTAATAAGGCAAATACAGTTTACTACTAGATATGTAACACTGTAGTAGGGAAGAGAGAAGTAGGCAAAGTTGTCAAGCTACACATCTTCAAGATGGTATATCTACCCATACTTTTGTATGGAGCAGAGAGCTTGTATTAACAGACCGACAGGAGAGCAGAATCACCGATGCCGAAATGAAATTTCTGCCAAAGACAGTTGGGAAAACAAGGAGAGACCGAATTCACAATGAAAGAATTAATCAGGAGCTGTGGATAGCCCCACTATTCGGCTATGTTATCAGGTTGGACGACCACAGAGATCCTCTAAAGACCATGCAATGTCCCAGATGGCAGAAGACCTAGGGGCCGCCCTAGAATGCTCTATCTTGACTACATTCAGCGACTCTGTAGGGTGAGGGACCCTTTAGAGTTTTTTGAAGTGCAAAAAACAAATATCTACTTTGTTTCTCGCTAAAAAAAATATTTGCTCTCCCCCCTCACATTGCTATGCCAGTTTGTCAAATTTGTTTCCATATAGTTGTCTGTCAAATATAATAGTTTCGCTGAACTGGCTCGTTACCTAAAGAATTTTTCAGAAAGAAACTAACTTTATATTAATTTTTCACAGCTCAAAATTATGTATTTTAATAGCAATGGAATTATTAAAATTCTTTGCATGAACTTTTTGTGTTGGATAAACCCTTCAAAATTTTGTAACGTACCACAAAAATTGTGATAATTTCTGAACGACACCACTAAACCACACTAAAATTATTAGACTTCTTAGAGCTTATTGATTAAACAAGACTTAGATGCCTTTTCAAACCTGTTACTAAAAAATATCAGCGAGAAATAAGACTTCAAAAAATTGTATAGGTAATTTATTATTTTAAAGATTATTTGTAAGTTTAGAGGTTTAATACACTTATAGGAGAGCAGGGTAGTTCAGGGAGTAAGTCACTGTGATACTATTCTCTCTGCCCCTGGTTTGAATCCGGCTGTGGTAATTACTTATTGTTTTACATCAGCTGTGGGTCAACTCTTGGAGCACGCCGGTTCTCAATAAAGTGTGCACTCTTAATTAATTATAGGGGACAAAAATGGCGGCTGAGTGTGGTATGGGTCAAATCACCTCCTTGCACAACCGTTGACCAAAAAACAGTAATTCCATGTCAAGTTCTGAACCTATGAACCCAAATGGTACAGTTTTTTTGTTTTTTTTAAGAACAGCAGATATATATCTTTTTTTGTTTCCTTTCTTTTTTTTTTGTCAAGTTTTTTTTCCATAAAAGTAATATAAGCAAGTTAAAAATATAAATTAAATTAATTTAAATTTCCTAATCTTGTCTTGTTTAATTTTCTTTTTTTTTAGAAGCAAATAATATTGTTACACTATTGTCATTTTCTTTATAAATATATATTTTTTTAGTTATATTTGGTGGTATAAACCCCTTTTTATCAAATTTTTAACAGGCATCTAAAACTTCGTGAACATCTTATCCTAACCTGATCCTGAAGATGTTAAAAAAGTTATTCAAAAGTTAAAAAATAATGAAGCTCCTGATGTGAATGAGCTCCATTTCTTATGGGAGTGAAGAGTTGAGAAGGTTACTTTACAATATAGTAATGGACATACAGCCTATTGAAGAAGTGCCTTCTGAATGGTACAAGACACTAATAAACTGCTCAAAGATGAATGGGGATATCTATATGATTCTTATTTTATTCGTTTTTATGAAAATGCCCTTTTCTCTTTTTTTTTATTTTATTAGTGATGCTCTAATTTGTTGTGAATCTTAGAAAGTGAACAACAAGTATTCTGTATTTTTAATAAATTAACTAAAGGATAGTCAACATGAAGAATAATCATTGTGTATCTCAATTTTAATCTAGTAATATTCTGTTTAACGATGGAAGGACATCATATTGAACCAGAAATTCAAGTATGGAAATAAGTGGTCAAATGTTCCGGCAAGTGGATAGCGCTGATGCAATTGCCATTTCCCAGATTATAGTCTCCGAGCTTTTGCCAGATTCAGACAAACCAGAAGTACTAGTAGGGGATGTGTTAGTGGATTTTCAGCACATTAAGACACCAATGGATGACAAAAATATTGTTATTACTTCTAGAAACAACCCTTTTCATTGACAGTGCTTGACAGAGTCTAAATGTAGTGTCCAATGTTCTACCAAGACCCATATTAAAACTAATCATTTGTAATAATTTGTGGCAAGTTGATCTAACTTCTTATGTTCCTTTAAGATGTGCAATAGTGTGTCACCTGCAACTCCACAGATTATGGTGCAATGAGCACCTAAACGAGGATACAAATTGAAATGCTATTATGTTTACAGACGAGTCACGTTTCTGTAATTATAGCAATGGTAGGCGCCAAAGAGTGCCAAGAACAGAGGATAGGTTCACTGCCACAGTTTGTGCTTTGTTCAATGCAGTCTAGAGGTGGGTGTGTGGTGGTATGAGTCTGCATCTACTTAGGACAGATTCGTCTCTGTATTGTGGAATGGTAGGCGCCAAAGAGTGCCAAGAACAGAGGATAGGTTCACTGCCACAGTTTGTGCTTTGTTCAATGCAGTCTAGAGGTGGGTGTGTGATGGTATGAGTTTGCATCTACTTAGGACGGATTCGTCTCTGTATTGTTAATCATCTTAGTTTGTTACGTTCAAGAATTTATAGAGGAGTACCTTCCTCAAATTTTATTGATGACAATACGCAGTCTCATAGGGGAAAAGTTGTTCATCAGTGTCTTGAAAATCTGGAAATTTCACATCTGCTCCTTCCTGCATTGTCTCCAGATCTCGATCCCATTGAGGATGTACTGTAGAGAAGGATTTCAGACCACCATCTGCAGCTTCAACTGAATGGAGTATTACCATTTTTATGACATGAAATTCCTTGTGAAATCAGTGAGAACATTATAATCTGTATGCCCAGTAGGTGCAGAGAGCTAGTGCATAAGATATTACACAAATTATTAAATTTAAATTCGCAATCATAAAAACAAGATCACATAAACATTTATTGTCATTAGTTTTCAAAACAACTTTTATAAAATTTTCTTAAGTCAAATGCAATATTTTTCTATTAATTTTCAATCTATTTCATAATAAAAAATTCTAGGGAAAATAAATCGTGCATGACTAGCAATATCTCTTAATCATTTTTGAGTAATTTTTGTCCAATACACAAGAAAGGTGTATTAATAATTAATATAGCATATCTCTACTATCCTTTGCCTATAAGTTATTCTCATGAATACTTAAAAAAAAGTTTCTTCCTCTTGCAGAATGGGAAATTGAGCTATATTAGGCAGGATTTTCGAGGGGGGAGATCCATCACAGACCAACTTTTCTCAGTGCAGATTGTTTTAGAGAAAGCAAGGCAACACAATATAAATATCTGTCATTTATTTATTGATTTCCAGAAAGCCTATAATAGCATCGTCAGAGTAGAGTTGTATTAGGGTTTGCTTCAAATAGGAATATCAGCCATACTCATATGCCTGATGAAGATAACTGTGAAAGAAGTACAATGCAATGTTGGAGTCCAAAATAACACTTCTGAAAGTTTTCACACACATAACAAAGGGGTAAGACAAGGTGACTGTCATGCATGCATACTTTTTAACTCGGCAGTAACATATGCGATGAGGAAATCAGGAATTCAGTTAAAAGGCAAGATATTTAATAAATCTGCTATGATCCCAGCTTTTGAAGATGTGGATATTGTTAATACATTTACAGATATGAGCATGGCATTTCTTGAGCTTCAGAGAGCTGTTTGTGTTGAGCTGAAGTGGAGCTAGTATGAATAAAGAAAAAAACAAACATACGCTCGCAGAATCTCATGGTATTCTCCAAAATCCCCACCATATAGAGATGTTTAATAAAACATTTGAGAGAGTTAAAGAGTTCATTGAGATTATTTGATTTATATGTGTTATAAAATATTTTGTTGAAATAAATAAAATCAATGAGTTAAAAATTATTTCCTTTTATTACTGGAGGTGTGATGATACTTCTTATAGTTATAAAGAAAAAAAGTTATGTCGTTATGAAACGAGTTGATCAGAATTGTATTCCTCGGTTAACTGTGAAACACTTTATTATCATAAACTATAGGAAAGAAAAGAAAAAGAAAAAAAAAAAAAAACCCTGTACCATTACAACCCATGAAGGATCTTGGATTCAATACTGTTTTTTAGTCAGCAGTTGTGCAAGGAGGTGATTTGACTGAGATCACGCTCTACATCCAGGTTTTTCCCCCTTAATCAATTGTTAAATTAAGGGTACCCACTTTATAGAGGTTGGGTGTGCACTAGGAGGGTTTCCCAATCCCAGGGCTGCCTGACAGCTGATGAAACAGAATAAATAATTTTCTGCCATGTGGCGGGATTCGAATCCAGGACCTTTGAGAGAATAGAGCATTGGAAGATCAGTGCCCTACCACTAAGTTACCCCACTCTCTAAAGTATCTGTTATATAATACCTAATTTAGACGACGTGTTTGATCCCTTTGCAGTTGTGTGTGTTTGGACGCATTAAATTTGTAAATTAACTATAAGTAGTAGTGTAATTTTTCCCCCATATTATTTTCAATTAGGATGAAAATTTATATATTTAAGCAAATACTGCGTGTATATATATATATATATATATATATATATATTGATACATTTCATGCATATTCAATGAAAAAGACACATTAAATGATGCTATAAAAAAGGTTTATTATTGAACGTTTAGCCAACTCTAACATTTTTTATTTTTTTATTTTAGGAACAATTTACTGCAATGCGTGATTTATACATGAAAAATGGACAGGGTTTTGTGTTAGTCTATTCAATAACTGCACAATCAACATTCAATGACCTCCAAGATTTGAGAGAACAAATACTTAGAGTTAAGGTAAATATTGTAGACCATTTTATTTCACATTTCCTCTTACTATTTCATATTTTAATCATCAAGAATTTTAATCTTGAAATTTTAATGAATACCGTACTTCTTATAAGTGAAAATTTCTATATTTGCTATATACTCATTCCTATATTAAGTTACTTCAGCTATAAAATAATACTTTATCTTATTGTTTAGTGTAGTTGTGCTTTTAATTGTGATACTGATAATAATAAGAGTTCAATCCAATCAGATTAAATGGTTTTGTCCTAACACCAGATATTTCCTTTTCCTTCTAATTGAGAAGTATATTACACTTATTGTAATGTTTTATCTTCAACTCCTGTTTTACTTTCTTTCCTGTGTGTGCATTTTTACTAGTTGTATTGTTTATACAGTTGTAAATTTCATTAAATAAATAAATAATAAAAAAAAACTGCTTATAATTTGTTCAATAATTGATTATTAAAGTTAAAGTTGCCAAATCTTATAAAATTATACTGAGCAGTTCTTGCAGTTATTTTAGTTGAAATCGTTTTTTGTAGCATCATATTTAAATCATTTTAGTTAAAATTAAAATTATTAAAGGATTTGAATCCATTGCTTTCAACTAGAGACCGGACTTTCTTGTAAGTGCACATTTTATTCGCTTGTGTGTAAAAACCTCGGACCCGAATATAAATGACATGTTTAAATTTTATATTGCACGTTTTGCCGTTTTTGGCTTAAATAGTTGCACGATTTTTTTTTTTTTTGTTTTTTTTTAAAACTTTTTACTTTTTGTTGTCTATATATTGTCACTTTCTGAGATAGTCTTTTGTTAACAACAAAACCAGTCCCGAATGTGTGGAGGCGGTTATCACAGCTATAGTATACAGTGTGGTTTCCTTTCTTTATGCTGCCCTACCCGGTCCACCGGTCCACATCTCAACAGTCCAGATTTTAGGATTTGCGGATGACCTGGATCTTGCGGGAAGGAGTATAAACGCCATAAGAGAAACTTTTAAAGCATTAGAGGAGCCTACAGCAAGACTGGGTCTAAGGGTGAATGTTGAAAAAACGAAGTATATGTGCACTCTACCTACCAACAAAGATGGCGGGAGTCATGTCTTTATAGGTCGCCATAGATTAGAAAGAGTGGAATCATTCATATACCTAGGATCCCAGATCAACCATAATAACTGCATTGAAGAAGAAATCCAAAGACGGATCCTCTCCGCAAACCGCACCTATTTCTCCTTTCATAAACTCTTAAGAAGTAGTGTGTTGTCGAAGGCCTCGAAAGTGAGAATTTATAAGACAGTTATACGACCAGTTCTTACATATGGCTCAGAATGTTGGACTACAACTAAAGCCCTTGAGCATTTGCTTCTCCGTTTTGAAAGAAAAGTGCTTCGCCGTATATATGGTGGTATATATGAGGGAGGCGCATGGAGAAGAAGAACAAATGCTGAGTTAAGAGCGAGGTACAAAGAAATAGACGTATCAACATTCGTAAAGGTATCAAGACTTCGCTGAGCTGGTCACGTCATAAGGATGGATCCAAACAAAGTCCCTTACAAGATCTTAGCTGGACAAATGTATGGTACCAGGCTGGTTGGACCCCCCAGACTCATGGGAAGACTACGTGGCTGCAGACGCGAGATCTCTGCTCGGTGTTATGAACTGGAAGGCAGTATCACGGAACAGGGAGGACTGGCGGTCTAAGCTTGAGCAGGCTATGACTCAAATAATGGGTCGTAACGCCGAATAAGAAGAAGATATTGTCACTGAAGATATGGTTTATATTGCTTAATTCTTATTAATGTAGTTTTTAGCCAGATATGGTTTTTGTTTTTTGTTCATAATTGTTATCCTTAAAGGGATCTTGTCCCAGAATAAAGTTTATTTTCTATCTATCTATCTATTTATGTATTTATTTGTAGATAGTATGTTCTATATTTCTTAGCTGCTTTTAAATAAGTTGCATGTATTATTATCAAGTACATTTGTAATTATATATAACAAATATTGTTTGGTATTGTTGATCTCCATTTCTCACCCGTATATAAATGCAATGGCTATATATAATAAAAAATAAAGAAATATGTTCATGTTCAATTAGTTTAGTAATGGGTCCCATTCCATGCCAACTCCCTCCTCACAAATTTTAATGAAAATTTATATTTATTAAGTAAATATACAATTAAGGAAAAATGCCAAATTTTACTCTATTCTAATGAGTAATTTTAGAATTATGATCATTTGAACTTATAGGTTTTTGAAGTTCCGAAAACTATTTGATCCCGAAACCGGCTTGCATCCAAAAAAAAAAAAAAAAGCGAATCATAAGGTAAAAGACAAATTAAAAATGTACTTCAGAAATCTAATTGTATAGATCAATAATTTATAATTGCAAAATAAGTAAGCTACAGATAAAGAAAACATAAGTTAAATCAAAATTAAACATATTTACTTTAACACGTACATACCTGTGTACAATATTTACATTTGCTTGGGATCTCCGAATGAAGCCTTGCCCCCCTTATGTGGAAGGCAAGGGAGTACTTCAGGAGATCCCAGCTCTTCTCTCTTATCCTCATCACTGGTATTAGAAGCCAGCTGAGGCTGTGAGAGCTCTAGAGCCATAGTATTTTATTAAAACTTGAGTTAATAATAGTATATAATGAATTAAATCATATTAATTTTAGGATACTGATGATGTCCCAATGGTGCTAGTTGGAAATAAATGTGATTTAGAAGAGGAAAGAGTTGTGGGGAAAGAACAAGGAAACAATCTTGCTAGGCAATTTAATTGTGCTTTCATGGAAACATCAGCTAAAGCAAAAATTAATGTCAATGATGTAAGTTTTCCCATTTTTTTTTAAAGTTCAAGTTTTGTATTATAAATGAAAGTATTTAGTTATTTAATTTGTAATATGAAAAATATCTTGTATAATCCTAAGTACCTTAAATAAGTTTCTTTTATTTATTTTTCATCATTATAAGGACTGTTCCAATGTTGGTTAGTTTTCTTTCAAGCCCAATATTTTTAGATTTGCTTAAAAGCATTTTATTAAGTTAATCAGATGTATATCTAATCTATGTTATAATTATGTTAAAATTATACTATGCATTATTTAATATTATAGATGATGGTTAAGAGTTTAATGTGATAATTGATTAATATCTTATGTTTGCTTGTTTTAATCAAATTTTTTTTTTTTACTGCATCCCTTATCATCTTTCCCTTGATTAAATCTCTCATCAGTTAATTGTTCTGATAATATATTATTAAAAATATTATGTTATATAGGCGTACTTAATCAGTCACTTAAATTGTCATTGATTTATTGTTGATGGTATTTTACTTATGAAACTTCATAAAGCTCTACAACTAGCCAAAGATTCTTGGATTTTTGCTACACCAAGAAATCCAGTTTTTTGTGACAGCCATTCCGATGTTCGTAATATTGAATTTTTCTCTCATTCCATCCATATACTCTTGTGTTCTGAGAATCATAGGTGCAGAATCTCCGTTTTGATTGGGGATAGGAGACGATGGAACAAAAAAAAGAAACGCTAAGTTTATATTTGTGTTGAAAAATATCACACATCAATTTACATAATCAAATTAATTATTGTAAAATGAACCATATAATATTGTTTATTTTGCATTTTATTGTAGTCCTGGGAGTGTACTGAATTTCATGACACAGGGGCACATCATACTTCCCCATATTGTTTATTTAAAAATATATTTATATATACATTTAAAATGAAATGAAAAATAATTTTATTCTGGGACTGAAGTCCCCTTAGAATAATAGTAGAGTTTACAAAATTACAAAATATGTACCTTAGTCTGGCATGTAAGTATTATATAAATATGTACATAAAATACCTAGGAAATTGTAAGCACACACACATATATATATATACACACAAATATACTAAGAAAAATACGAATATATATATATATATAAAAATTAAAGTATCTAGATATATATATATATATATATATATATATATATATATATATATATATATATATATATATCTACAAAACATAATAACGATAAACACAGATATATACAATAAAATACTGAGATATAAAAAATTAATAAATAAAAATAAAATGACTTTATCAATTAACTGCTGGTGGCCAACATAATTTTATAACCCAGAAATTTTTACAAGCTTGCGGAAGTTTGAATTTGTAGTAGGTGGTGGAATAGGAGTTGTTTGAAGGAGTTTATGTAGGTGGTTTGACGTACGGAGATGGGTTTATACATTTATGTATTTTTTATTTATTTTTTTACTAATCAGTATATTTGAAAATATGTTAGTAAAACGATTGAATGTATTACATATTTTTATACATTGAAACGTGGGGAGGGGGGAGAAGGGACAGCTTCAGTAATATAAGAACATTTATAGAACTAACAAGGGAAGACTACAGTCAGCAGGTCATCAATCTCAATCAATATGTAATACATTCAATCGTTTTACTAACATCCTGAAAAAAACTCCAGAAATCTCTAATTAAGAGTATGCTATGATAAAACCAGTTCTGATATGTATGGCTGCAAGACCTGGACACTTACAAGCACCTAGAAAGCCTGTAAAGCCAACAGGAAAAAACATCGTTTCTAATCACGTACTGTTTGATATATCAACCACTTCTCTATAGCTATTATATGTAACTAACAATCAAAGAAAGTCTAAAAATCCTATTTATACTTTAAATAGCATATTTAAACAAACGCTTGTATGAGAAATCTCATAATTTAGATTAAGTAAATAGATTTCTATGTTATTTTAAACAAATTTATCTTTTTTTTCTTTTAATATTATTTATTGAAATTGATAACTGTATGGATGAATCCTTACTAACCCTAAAAAACACTACATAGCCAGCACAGCTGCCTATCACCATTATTCTTAAAAGTAATAGTATTATGAAAGGCATAAGTACTTCTCTCAAGTCATACCAACGTACTTAGCTGTCTGTTTATCAGGTTCACTGACAAATGGCCAGAGTGTGGCATTAGGGCCAGGCAATTGCCCGGGTACCCCTTTCTTTCTTTAGAAATAAAAATATTTATTACATAGAGCATAAGAATAATCAATTAAGTCAATAATAAAGCAGCTGAATTAAACACGTAAAGAATAATTTTTTTTTTCTTTTTTAATCTTTGTTTTGAGGGAAGAACCCATACTAATAGAGTTTATCTCAGTATAACAAACATTATTATCCTTATGGTATTACAACACTCTTTAAGGATAACTTTTTTAAGCTAAAAGTTTATATTCATTGTTTGTTACAGATATTTTATGATTTGGTTCGGCAAATTAATAAGAAATCACCTGAGAAGAAACAGAAGCAAAAGAAGAAGTCATTATGTTCTGTTTTATAAGGAAAAATCGGATTGGGTCTCTGTATATAAGGACACTATGAGACATTCTCAATCCATTATAAAACCATTCACACCTATGTTTCTAAATTAATAAATATTTTTTTAAAATACTGTACTGTTCCTGGATTCTACTACTTGATACCTAAGAAGTGCACTGAGTCCCTAGTTATTGTTTTCTTTTGTGTGTGAGTGGGGAAAAAGCATCATTGCCACTCACTATGTGTCTATCCATGTTTTCTATGTATAATTTTATTTTAAAAGCCTTTTTCATTTAAGAAAAAGTGTAAAAAGCATGATAATCAACTATTGCCCAACATTTGTTTAGGTAGAAATGTGTACAAAGGATTAAATTGAATATTTTATTATAAAGAATTGTATTAATAATTTTTATTGCTACTGCATATGAATACTACTAAAATGTATACTTATATTTTCCTTATATGTTTTGTTGTATGGATCTACAATGGTAATGCACTTATGTTTCATTGTGGATTTTTTTAATGTTATTTTTAAAAACCAGTGGGTCTGTTTTAAAAATGAGCACTCCATAATTATAAAGGGTGTCCTACTTTTATTGATAACTCCCTTAAATTTAATTATATTTTTATTACCATTAAAATGCACAAATGCAAATAAATATTCCATTATATTAGTCTTTTAAGCCATAATTTGAATTTCAACTACTTGAGGCGGCAATGCATTATAGTCTTGAAATCCATGCATATCACTGCCATTATTTAAATTTCTGATGGATTATCTTCATATCTACGTATACCTATCATTGCTTAGTAAACTGTATTAACATTTGACTTCATAATTTTAAGAAAAATGTATAGTATAAATGGTTTCATAAATTAAGAAATCCATCCTTATACATACCATTATGGTAAATTAAATAATAACCTCAATATATATATATATGTATGTATATATATATATATATACACATAGGAAAGAGCTATAGTTACTAAATACTGCTCTGATACCTAAATGTTTTGATAATTGTATTATTGTTATCGTTTCTCTGTGAAATAATAGATAATGTTTACCAGTGATTTGGTGTGTGTTAGAACTATATGTAAATTGAAAATCTGTTGTTTGTATGAAATATAAATAGTTTTGCAAAATATGTATATAAAAAAATCTTCCTACCTCTAATTTTATTAATTTTCAAAATATATTCCAAATAATTTTGAAATGGACCAAAGCCCCTCCATTTTTTTTTTACTGTTAAAATGGTGTGTAAATAATTCCATTTCTTTATTGCTTCTGATGTATAATCACACATAACTTAAATATTTTATCTCCAGTGATGAAAATTTCTAGTTAACAGATATAATTTTTTTTTTCTGTAATGTGCAAAGAAATTCAAATTAAACATAGATAGTACATTTAAATAATTAAATTTCAATTTTATACATATAGTTAATGCAAAAAGTATATGCGTTCTATGAACCAGACATAGATGCACTAAAAGTTCATATTAACCTTTCATTGCTCAATGCTAGACATCATTAATCAATAATGTATGGTTGTAATTACATCATTTAGCTCGTGCATTAAAGATAAATTTATTTTGAATTGTTTTGCAAAGAAAATGTTGTAGTAGTACTTATCATATTCTCATAAACTGCATCTGTGTTATAAATTATAATGTTAGGTCCTTCTATCCCTAAAAGATTAATGAAGCAGTTTTGAAAAATATATTTTATTATTGGAAAACAATTTGTTTATATGTTATGCAGTTTCAGTTTATCATTTTTTTATTGTAAATTCCAATAGAAAATATTGTTACATTATGTTTAACTAATGGAGTTTAATGTTGTGTGATTGACCTGTTTGCTTGGTTATGAAATAGCCCAGACTATCAGTAAAGTATTATTTATTATCTTTGATATAATAAAGACAAGAAATGTTATTTGGTTCCAAAGATATGTTGTTAGAGGTTATATTTAAAAAAAATATTTTTATTTTGATTACATTTTTTTCTGTTTTATTTTGATTTGTATCCAAGGTTATGATTAATTAAATGGATACAGTTTTTACAATTTATAAAAGCAATAAGGTAACTAATTTAAGTTAGTCATTTTGTTGAACATATTCTTGGTATATAAACGAATAGTTTCAATTAATGAAAGAATATTCCATTTAATTTTTTTTTTTGTTCTTTTTTGTTTAGATTCTGTAAAATCCAATTTTAGTGATTTTAGTCATGTTTACCCAATGTATGGTCTTTTCCCATCCTGTTTCAACATTTTTAATTTTTTATTAAGATTAAGTGAAAAAAAAAGAATATTGTCTTAATCATTATAATAGCTAAATTTTATAATTGTTAATAAATTTTATTAAATTACTTTTTCTTATTATTTTAAATTTCGCTTAGCTGAATTTAAACTACTTGAAATCCCTGTATCAATAAAACTTACTGTAATTATATTTTGTGTTTTTTCCCAATAGCATATCTATTTATCATTGTTACTTTTAAGTGGAAAAAAAAAAATAGTATTTATCATTTTCACCCTTAGACTGTGGGAGTTCATTCGAGTGTTCCTACCAGATGGCGGGTCCTGAAATCCAAAAAGACTTTCAGAAAAACTTTTTTTTTCATAAATTTGTATAAAATGCTATTTTGAGTCACCCTGTAAGATCTCAGCTTTCAAAATTGCATTTTAACTTTTAATAAATGGGACATATGCCTTCCCGGCCGCACATGGCAACGCAAGATTAGAGTGGCAATCCCGCAACACTTCTCTATCTTGCGTATTTGCTTATCTCTGAAAAGCAAAATAACTGAAAATTATCATAAAAATAACTAAGTGATCTTAAAAATTAAATTATATTATTTATGAAAAAGGACATCGATGGTGGGATTGGAATTATATATTTCTTTGCATATACAAATTTTTTCTTACCTAAAAAAGTTCCATATTGAAACAGCGCAGTTATACATTTTATTATTGCACTTACATTTATTTGAGTTTCAAACACTTACAGATTATATGAATAAATATATTAATTTTAGGTGAATGGAAAAATGATAAAACAACTTAAGTATCATCTTAATTCTATATATTTTTACATTTATTTATTACATTATATATATATATATATATATATATATATATATATATATATATATATATATATATATATATATATATAAGAAATGTAGAAAACTTAAATTTATTTTTTTAGTAGACAGATTAACGTGTACCAAATTCAGCATTCAGTAAAAACAAATTTAAAAAAAATGAAAAAGTTATAAAATTAACTTATTAATGTTTATTTGATGTATTAATCATTTAAATAGAATATAAATAAGATCATGTATATGACACAAATAACAGAGAAACGACATACCTTTGGTTCAGAATAAATCAGCAACTGATAGCTCCCAAATGATCAGAATCCGGAATGACTGCACTGAGTCAGCTACAGGAGACTAAAAATGAGTGCTCAGACCAAGCCACAAGTCAAATGGTGAAGGGATTTATCCTTACCTCTTAAAGTGGCAACAGCCAAGACGGGAAGGCATGTATTGCGGCTGCTCCAGTGACCCAGTTCACTGCCGGGAAAGCATATATCCCATCCACACCAGTGACTCAATTCCTAACAGGAAGGCATGTATTCCGTCCGCAGTCAAAGGGTCAAAGAAATTTTAGTAATATCTTGGAACTGTCTCAATTTAATGATTTTTTTAAATACCTCATTTGAGTATTCTGTTTAGGTTATATTTACTTAACCCATTGGTGGCAACACCTCATATGAATGTTTTACATCCCCTATGAATTAGGTGTACTTGTCCCTGGAAGTTTTAGTCCTTCAATGGAGGTTGTCCTTTATCTTTTGTCATGTGCTTTATTTGATTCTTGGTGGTCAAAGTGGAAGGATTTTCTTAGCTAGTACAGGTCAATGTTTGCAGGTAATTTCACTTTTGTAAAACTTAGTTTTCTTAAAGATGGTGTTCCAAGGTATTTTTCAGTACATTCTTTCAAACCACTTTTCAAATGCGTGTATTTTTATATTAAATATATATTGATTTTGGTTCATGTAAAGTTATTTTCAGGAATAATTAATTTTGAGATTAAAGGGTCAAAGAGAAAGAGTCTGCATATACTTATAAAGAGGGTGAAACATGATTAGAAAAGACAGTGTCTCTTCCAATTAATAATACTGATATCCATGACCAATTGTAGATTCAGGATTTAATTTTGGGGGATTGGGGCGCTAACCAATTTTTTTTTTAAATTATAGTGTTCTAAAAATAATGCTTTTAGGTATAACATTTTTATGTATATTTTCTTGAAATGCGCTTATATTTAATACTTGAAGTCCATGTGTTATAATTTAAAAATAAAATATATTGTGATTTGTTTAACTACTTGGTTCAGATCACTCATAAAAAAAATATGTACCATGATTGAAATATGAAAAAAATACTTTTTTTAAGGGAAGGGAGGGCTTCTCCCTCCTTTTGAATTCACTAGTGATCCTGACTACTTTTAGTTCGTTTCCCTGGGATCAGTATAAACTACCACCAGTATTTTTTGCATAATCCAGATATTTGATATGCTGCCTTGTTTTCTCTGACTAAAATTTTGATAGGAGTGGGGAAAGGATAAATATAAAAGTAACAATTATTTTAACGATTTAAACTAAAATAACTCATTCAAAACTCCATAGTTAAATGTAAAGAAAGTGGGCAGGTAGTTACTAAATAAATAAGTTTGTTTTTTATTTTAAAACCATTAATGGTTGTGCCAGGGAAGGTAGAGAAGTTTTAAATTTCCCTTATTACGGCGGATGGTAGGAGCAGATATAAAAGATAACACTTGAGCTTTGAGAGGGACTGGTTGTCTCGAGGACACTTCTTGACCAGCATTCACCCAGCAAGGTCTACACGGCGGAGGGCCCTCCAGTATGGACCTTGATTCCACCAGAGAGATAGCTCTAGAAATCTGGAAAATAGATTTGGGAAAGATCCGGAATATAAGTCTGCCTATGCTGCCCAGATGGATGAATATATAAGATTAGATCATGTCCGCTTCGCCAAGAACCCTTCTCCATACGTCATGACCCATTATGGAGTCATTAAGGATTCTCCCACGACAAAACTTAGAGTCGTATTTAATGGTTCGGGGAAGATGGTGGGAGGAAACTCACTCAATGACTTGCTTTTGACCGGTCCGCAGCTCTAGACTGATATTGCGTAACTTATAGATCATTTTAGATGCTTTCCTGTGGCCTTAACATGCAATATAAAAATGATGTTTAGGTGTATCCGCATTGCCGAAACTAATCAGAACCTATTGCGTTTTTTTTTTTTTTTTTGGAGAAGTGAATCTTCACAGCTGATCCAGGTTACCCTTCCATTGGGTTTGACATGCTCTCCCTTTATTGCTCAGAGAGTTATTCTATAGTTATTTCGGGAAGAAGGCCATAATTTTCCTAAAGCTGCCCAGTGTCATGACCAAATTTATGTAGATAACGTAATCACTGGTGTTCGCAATATTGATGAGGCTCTGGATCTGAACAATGAGTTGATGGCCTTGTTTGGAGGAGGTGGGTTTGAGCTCAGAAAGATTTCCAGCAATTCCGATAAAGTACTTTCTGTAATACCCAAAGCTAGTCAAAACATTCCGTTGAGCCTGGATGGAGATTCCTCGACTGTTAAGGTTTTGGGTTTGTTATGGGATCCTAAACTCGATCATTTCAGGTATTCAATACAGGAAAGTAAGCCTGTTTTTACAAAGCGAGGTATTCTATCCTTCATTGCCAAGATTTTCGATATAAATGGATATATCAGCCCCGTCATTTTTTCTGTTAAATGCCTATTACAACGTTTGTGGCTTCTTAAGGTTGATTGGGATGATGAGTTGCCTTCTAGTGTGTCTTCATTGTGATATGAATTTAGTTCATGAGCAAATAAGGAATGCAATTAAAAAAGGAAGTAAGAACTGCAAATTTAAATAAATATAGAGATAATGTAGAAATCGAAGATGAATCTAACATAAAGGTTAGAACTAGACATAAACACGAAAACCCATTTAGACTAGTGTATAAATAAAAATAAAAACCTTAAGCCGCATGCAGATAATATCCAAAGAAAACGAAAAACTAAAAGAAAATATCATATTCCAGATGATGAAGATAATATGGATATTGATTCTGATGATGCGACAATAGGAAATAATAAATCCAGAACATTCTTCAGGACTGGTTACGTTTAAATTATCTGATTGCAATGTAATACGAAAATACAAAACAATAATACATTATTTAAATTTTTCAAACTTCATAAATGAAATATCGATATTAGAAAGAGATTTAAGTATCTCCTAGTCTATTACTATTTAAGATTTACCTACACTACTTATGTTTCTCATACCTTGTTATCTGGTTCTTTTCTTAGCCCTGATGATGGCCTGAACTTCAGGTCGAAACGTCGGCTATAAAAATAGTATCATATAAATAGTATCATTTATTTTTGCCTTCTTATTTGACTGATCACCCCAACTATTCTTCTCTCCATTATTCACGACAGTCAACCATTTACCAATTATTATTTAAGATTTATTACAATTTACCGACATTGTATTAAAAACCTTCTCCTTTCCCGTCACCTTAACATCAGCATATCGCCTCATAACAGATCCATATCCAATGTCCAGTTCCGCTCTCTCCTCATCTCCTTAGGAAATCATTTCATCCTGGTTGCAGGCTCAAACACCAAACATCATGAATGGGGTTCAAGAACCACGAATTCTCGTGGTAGAACGTTGCTGTCTGCACTCAATTCCCAACATTTCAGCATCCTTCCCCCCAACTCACCTACCTACTAGCCCACTGGTCTCTTCTAAAAGTGTGGTATCTTTAGTCCAGTTGGGAGGTTATAAAACAAATCGAGAAAAATCCTTGGTTTTGTGAAAAATCGAACGTAACGTAGTTTAACTGCTTAAAAGTCCCCATGAAATGGTTTTAAAATAAACAAGAATTACTTTTATTTAATGTATATTTAATCTAGTTTACTGTTATGTAATTGGTTTTAACCTAAATTAAACATTTTTTTAGTTATGGCTTTTTATTCAACATAAAATATCTTTGGCTTAAAAATTACAAAATTAAAGTTATCTGGTTCTGATTCTTTAAGAACAATAATCGATAAGGCTTGGGAACGGAACAGAAATGTATTCCTCACATTCTTAGACATAAAGGCTGTATTCGATTCCGTCCCTATACAAGAACTATGGAAGACCCTGATGGACAAAAATATTCCAAGAGGTTTGATAGATGCTATAAGGTCCACGTATCAGGACTCAAAAGGCATAGTTAGAATAAATGGAATAGAGTCCGATATCTTTGCCATGAGTAAAGGTGTTAAGCAAGGAGACAGCTTGAGCCCCCTACTGTTGATTATATATATGGGCGAAATTTTA